TAAGGTCTTGCAATGGTTGTAAAGTGTATGGCCACCTTAAGACAAGGGCCCTGCACTGTAGTATCTTCAAAATCCCAGTCTCTTTCATTAAAAAGAAAACAAGAACCTTCACTGTTAGCCCTATGCTCTTGCAATACCTTGCCTGTTAAACAAGCTTTGTCTTTTAGAAGCCCAGTGAGGGAGAATAAATGAGAAAAATAATGGACTCTACCAATTAAATCAGAGCCAGAACCACAAACATGTTGTTAGTAGTAATTAAGACCACGCTAGACATAAAAAGGCTGCGGAACATGTATGCAGAACTCCACTACCCTCTGGAATAAATGATGGATCCATAAATAGGAACGTTTGGAAGATTTATTTTTTTCTCCCTCTACTATTGAAGGGAGGGGGGCAGCACCAGCAGACAGAATAAGGATTGGGAAGGTGAATTACTTAACTGGTCGTCTCTAAAACAGATCTAAACCCAAAAACCTAATAGATCGCAGTTTATCAGTTCTTTGACCAGATGCCTGCATTAGTCTTTTTTTCTTTATTTTCCTCTGGTAATCCTGCAAATAATGCTTTCTGTTCATAGCAGGACTACAAACATGTAGCCGTTGGTTATCCCCATTATATAGGGGTGAGAAGAGCTGTTTATATATGCTGGATAACAATGGTTTTTCTTTCTGTTCAGCTCACAGCAAGTGACAAGGACAAAGCATTTCTGGCAAGATCAACAGGTATTTTCTGCAGTGGCTAAAAATGTTTTTTGCCAGAAAAATGAAAACGAATACAGGCACCACATCGAAGGACAGGTATGTTGCAAAATATTTAACATTTTAAATGTTTTTTTTAAATGGCAAAAAAAAAAAAAAGATTTCTCTACAATTACACACAACTCTCCAATAGCCAAGAAAAAAAATTATCAACTTCAACAATAAGAAAAAATACAAAGAATAAAAGTGTATAAAAACAGACAAGACACACTTGTTTCAGAATAATCCTGATTTTTAATTTACAAGGTTTGGTGGTAAAGGTCAATTCTGCAAAGAAGTGCTCGCTGGCTTCTCATACAAATAAAGCATTTATCATGTGTACTTGCTGACCTCTGCAGGCTATTTTGATAACTGCAAAAATCCACAACCTTGCACCGTTACCAGCAGAAGGCTTTACACTTGTCACTAACACAGTGATTTCACTGGTTCCTTGTTGAATGGATAGCTGCATACTTAGGAATATTTGTTCAGCACACAAAATGGTTTCCTCTGCTTCATGGGTGCTTTAATGGGATGTCTACCTCCGAAAAAAAACAGTTTGTTGAATAGCCACCACAACTTAATTTTAAAGAGCTCATTTTTTTTTAATCTTTTACTTCATATCTTTTAGTTCTATCCCCTGCTTGAAAAGACAAGCAGGGGATACAACTGAATGCACAAACTGTTACTAAAAACACAGCTATTCATGAAATGTCTGCAAGAGCTAAATATAAGGTATATGCTCGGATGAGATTTCAGCATTTGGTGGGTGAACATTTTATTCATCCACGACTCTTAAATCTCGCTCTCGTGGCCTGCAGAAAAGCCATCTGCTAACCAGTTTCAAACCTGGCTAGATACTTGTATAGAATAAACAATCCAGAGACCTAGATTCAACATTGGAGAATTTTAGGTTATGACCTGTCAGAAAACAGGGTAATCTAAACCTCGAAATGTTTTTGAAAAGGAGGACAACCCCATTAAATTGGTCACAAGGAACAAAATGTGGATAATGTAATCACCCCAATAATGTCAAATGCATGTTTTATCATATAAATTCCATTTTGTCTGTCAACAAAAGTATTACTGATGCAGTTTTACAGTCCTTCACAAGTGTGTAAAATTCTGTACACTGTATAGCAGAGCAACTATATACAATAATTTTTAAAAGGGTCTGGTTGACCTGGGCCAAAGCAAGTTTTTCGGTTCTTTTGATATACCTGAGTTTTACAAACAAATCTGCATAAGGTCAGAATAAACACTGGCAGCCAGCCTTGGGCTTGTGACTGCAAAAGGGGCACAGAGTCTGGAAATTAGAAGTCATTGTCACACAAAGCAAAACAAAAATACTCAAAATTTAATGTACGGTCATGGTCACCCTTCTGTCATTAGCACCTCATCACACTCTATCCCTTTAATTTGTGACAAAATTAGGTGTGCAGGTTTTTCCCCACTGTATACATTTTGTATCCTGCAAGGTAAAGACATTTGGTACAATGTGAAAGCAATCTAAAACCGTGCTTCCATCACAGCTTCCCTTAGTTTATGTATACTATTGTGTATAACTAAAGGCCAAACTTATTTCAGTTTTGGTAGAGTGGTGAGGGGTTAGAACCACTGCCAAGTTATTTTTTTTTTTTTTAATTGCCTGTGTTAGTGAGATCCGCTCTTTGTCCTTATCACTAATATCACCAGAACAATAGTGAGGGTAAATCTAAAATTTTTAGTACCCGCTGAAACAGGAATGGAGGGGTAAAATTGCAATGAGGAATATTTTCCCAATATGAGGGATAAAACCTTAGACAGATGTCACAGGAATAATATCCACTCACTTCCTGTTGAGTCTAAAGGACTCAAGCGAGAGACTAGACACACAAGGCAAAAAAAAAGACCAACAGTGGTTTTAGTTCTTCCCTACTCAGTTAAATTCTGAGGACCTTTGCTGTATAACAAGGAATCTAACGTTTAAGAGCAGTAAGTAGCTTCTTGTTTTGTTTGGATAAATTCTTTATTTAAAATGTACCGCTTAAAGGAAAGTTCCATTAAGAGCTTGAGTGAATCGGGTAATTCGAGTAATATGCAAATACACCCTCCGCCGTGCCCAACTCAAATACAGTCCACTGGCTCCACTAGAGATCATGAAGTCTATAGGAAGTCTGATACTCGAGCCAGAGAATGCAAAGTGGCACCTCAATTGAAGGGCTGGAACTTTAAAAAGGAGAACTATGAGGCTAAGCCCTAAGGAGAACTATGGGGAAAAGCCCTAAGGAGAACTATGGGGAAAAGCCCTAAGGAGAACTATGGGGAAAAGCCCTAACACCATAGTTCTCCTTTAATGACTGTGACTGGTGGAAAAGAAACACAAGGGCAGGTGTCAATTACCATTTCCTTACACGTTCCACTGTTCCATCTGTCAATGGATTAATCCTTTATTACACTATAATATCTTCACTGAGCCAGATGTATGCAGCCCTCCATACATACCCTGCCTCATAGCAACCAACACTGACCAAAATGTAAAAAAAAAGAAAACCCCAAGGTACTCCATTTGCAAGGCTGAAGATTGAATTTCTGCACTAGTGCTTTACCAAATGTATGCTTCCCAGCTAGGTTTTGTTCTGAAAAGTATTACATTTTTCTTTAACACATTTGTTGCTGCAAACTTTATTTTAGCCTTCGTTTAGTGGGGAAAAAAAATCCCTGTAAAAACAGATGCAATAATAATCTGAGCCCAAAAAATTCTCCTTAACATCAGGACTTTGTCAAACTAAGGAGAGAAATAGAAATAAAAAAAACAACACCCCACTAAAATTGGATAGGGCATATTCCACATAAAGTGAACTGGAAGAAATGGAAAAACCGCCCTCATCCTTTCCCTCAGCAGTTTATAGGCATATGAGGGTTTGCATACTCCAGTATACAAACTCTAACGCAATAACGTCTCCCGACAGCAGTTTACAATTCATCATTCACATTTTTAAGAAAATCAAAATATTTAAATAGCTACCACTTTGTAGCACATACAGGTAATGAAATTCATTGTGAAATTTCTTGAATGTACATTGGAGAAAAAAAAAAAGCAAACCAAGCTAAATAAACCAGGCATTGTTTGGTTGTGTTTTAATGTATAACATTTTTGTTTATAAATTCATCTGTGTTTAAAACGTCCCAGGAAAAGATTTGCTCCACACAAAAAGAAGAAAAAAAATGGAGTTGAACAGCATATTGAACGGAGAAGGCAGTACAAACAGAAGAAGCCATCTGATGAGGCTGGCAAAGGCCCAAATAGCCTTTTCACTCCCTTGCACTTAACCTTTTCCAGCAACAGCTGTATACACTACAAAATGGAACCCCTCATTAGTTGGCAATATCACAGAGATTGTCCACCATTTTGGATTGTATGATGCTGGACCTAATACATGAATTACAAAAAAAAAAAAAGACTGACTTTTTTTTAAACTTTTTAACAGCAATCCAGAAACAAAATCAGCACATTTATTTTGCACCCCAAATAATAATTTCAGTCCTTAACTAAAATTTGATCTTCTGGTCAAAATATTTTTCTTTAATGCCGCTCCATATACAAAAAGAAAGTAACATTTGGTGATTTGTTTATGAAGTGGCTAAAGATCAAGCCAAACATGCCAAGAAAACGTATATTCAGACTGAATATTGTCAAAATCAAATCCATGCTCTCTGGGTCATGCATGTTTTGGTTATAGCTTTTTGCAAGTTTTCCTTTATGTATGCAAAACTGAAGACACCTTCAAGTGGTGCCACACCAAATGTCCACGGATGACCCTGGAATACATAGATTAAATGACATCGGGCAATAACAAAACATCACCGTGATGTAACAAGGTTTCTGGTAAAGATAACTATTTCAGCCACTTTCTTGTCCTTTCTTTATTATGTGACTGACGCAGGATACATTTAAACAGAAACCAATATTAGGAAACGTCAATTTCTTGGATTGCTGTAAACTCCAAATTAAGCTCAGATGTTCAATTGGTGCAGACTGACTGACGTTCCGATACTATCACTCCAAACTAATGCACTTTTTGAGACAGGCAGCATGCCCATGGTGTGTTTATTATGGACCTTGTTATAATACAATTAAAAAAAAAGGCTCTTTAGAGGGCTTAATACATAAAGCCGAGTGCTAACACAAGGAGTGGCGAAGTACAGTAAGGTTTCTTGGTTTAGCAAATGCTTTTTGTGAGGTACATAATTTCTGGGGAAATTAAGACCTGGGAATATTTTAAGCCATATTGCAAACATTGAGAGAAGGAAAAAAAAAAAAAGGATGTTGTACAATTTCCCATTTCTGCCACCCATTATTCACAAGTATTTGCAGAGCTACAGTACAAATTGGCAAACTGTTAATTCCCACTTGCCAACATCAAGCCATTGAAATCAGTTACAAGTCCCTTCACCACCTCCACACTTTATTGTGGTGCGGGGGTGGGATTAATCATGGGGAGAAATAAAGAGGGGGAAAAAAATGTAAAGGAAGGAGCCTAGTTGCGTTGACCTTTGGCACCAGGAAGGGCAGGTTTCTACGCAAGAGTGCGCCTTTGACGTATTTCTCATTACATTATCCTATTTGCCAAGCCAGGTGCACACGTCTTGCGATTGCTCGGCAGGCATCCTGGAGATTAGATGTCCATTTCAAACTGAGCGTCATCACCTATAGGTAAAGCAAGCAAAACGAAAGCTATTAGGCAATTATATCTTGCATTTTATTTTACCATACATGTACACACAGATTAGCAGTCATGTAGTTAGATAGGAAGATCTGTGAACATTATTGAGCATACTGGCATGATGGACGCTGCCAATAGCTGATAAGTTACCAATACTGCTTACTAATACAATGCTTACAATGACTGAAAACATACTAATGCAGAGGCAGACAAATAAATCTGGAATTCAGGAGCCAGACTGTCCGATCCAAGAGCCGCCAGTATTTCTTTAGGAGCCAGCTCTACTGGCAACTAGAAGAGAAAAAAAATACTCAAAAAGATATTTGCCAGCTGTAAATTTTAAGCAGCATTGGCCATCTGGCTCCTGGGATTGTAAAGATTTCCAGTGGTTTGTTGATCAACTCTTAGAAGACCACTAGTAAACTCTTAGAAGACAGGGGTGCGGAATTCCTATTGCCCGGATGCCCAGCACATGCAGTTCCGGGCACAGGGCAGGTATTTTGTTGTACATTTAGCCCTGCTTCAGGCAAGCAGGGCTAAAATGTAAAGCGGGGAGTCACTGCAAGTTTTGTACAGGTGATCTGATCAGATGACTTATACCAACCTGATTGTCTGCACCCCTTCCTCACACTTTGCTGTGGTTTTTAGGGTCCCCCACTCCTCTGGGGGACACACGACCACAGCAAATGAGCTCAGGATGGAGAGTGGGGAGCAGAGTAAAGAACGTCCGTTCTTTGCTCTGAGACCGTGGCGCTGTAATCACAGCACCACCTGTATCAGCTGTCAGGAACTGTACAGTAGATCTGTTCTGTGTTGGGGGGCAAGTTCCATAGAGAACTTGTCACCTCCAAACTATCACACAGGGGCTTAGTAATGGTAGATGACAAATAGCGGTGTATCCCAGGGCAATTGTATCAATCTCGGGGCACTTAGGTTTTGTTAGGCTATTAGTCATTAGGGGTGTGTGTGTGTGTGTGTGTGTGTTTTCTATGCATGTTGGGCCACATGAAGCCAGGTCTTGCGAGGGCCCAAAAGTAGCACATTCCTCTTGGCGACTGATGGAAGCTAAAAGATAGTCTACACGGATTTATAGAATGTATATCATTTTGGACTATGCATGTCAGCGCCTTATCAGTGGTCAAGATACTGTATAGAATGCCATTGTAACATTTAACCAAGGCATTACAAAGTGTCAGGATCTATAAACAAGGGGCGGGGTGGGGGAACAAGAAAACCCCCAAAACTCCCTTTCTACAGTACATCTTACCAATAGCTGTCTTCCTGTCATGGTTGTTCAAATTATTGGTTTCTACTTTGGGTTCTTCTACAACCGTATTAGGGCTGGTAACTCCAGGAATATCTGGCAAGCGGCGAGGAGGGGTCTGAGCCAAGGGAGAAGTGCGACGGTCCAAAAGAAACTTGCGATCATAAATGATCCTGGTGCCTAAAAGGGATAAAACATAAGATTCTTTAAAACAAAAAGGAACAATCATGGTGTAACAGATCCTAGTAACCAACAGATGTCCCGTTACAGTTTACAAACCAAAGTTGCAGAATATCTTACTGAAACATATACTCCGCATCTCGTTCTGCAATTTTATGTGAAAGCTTTTTCTAGGAACCGATGCCAAATATCCTGCCCAAACCAGGAGCAGGATATTTAGGACAGATTTACAAACCTGCAACTCTAACATCTCCTTTAAGTCTATATTTCAATCTTCCTATATGCGACAGAAACCCAAGTAGGTGTAACAAAGCATTCTCCGGCATCACAAACAGGTATCCATACCAAGAGGAAGTGAAGAGGACATTGCATTAAAAAAAGTATAGATGGATAAATGAATACCAGGATTGTGCTCCATATATGCATCACAAGGCTTATTTTTAAGTCTAACTAGAGTAACTTAAAGCCCATCTCCATCTCCTTCTGCAACAGGAGACTTGCGGCTTCCCTGCAGAGAGGCCATCTTATCGTTTGTCAGCCCCTCGTCTCCCCTTGTCAATTCACAGAATACAAAGCTTTATGAATGGACAATGGGAGAAGAGGCGGATTGTACAGTTTCTGGGTAGGAGAGCTGCAGCGCTTGTTGCAGCACCGAAAGTATAGTGAAAGTTATACTCCCCCAGCCTCATTGAAATTGCCAATAGTCAAGAGAGGGCAGCTATCCTGAAGGTGGCACACACCTCATTACATTTACCCAGCAGATTTACTTATTTTTTTTATTCTTTTCCTGAAGTTCTTTAATGGTTACAAGAATGTCCAAAAAAAAAAGTCACCCTCACTCCAAGGTCCAATGTGTTGAATGCAGTGGCGTAACAATCGCCATAGCGACCCAGGCGGCCGCTATGGGGCCCGGCCAGGACATTCCTCTGATGCCGTGTGGGCTGCCTGGGTCGCTATGGCATGCAAGGGTGCTGGCTGTCACTGACACAGCTCAGCAGCGGCATTTCCCCTCACAGCCGCTGCGGAGCTGTGTCAGTGACAGCCAGCAGCTACGGCAGAAGAGGCCAGCGTTCGCAGTGAAGGAGGCTGGGCCCGCCTAAGAGCAACCCTGCCTCCTCTTACATCACTGGCCAGCGACCTAAGAGCAGGTGGGGCAAGTGGTGTAAGAGGCAGGGCCCATCGATAGAAGAGGCGGGGCCAGAAGAGTAGGAGGGGCCAGGCAACCACAGGAGGCACACAGCGCTGACAGGTAAGAGGTGTGCAGCCCATCTGGGACCCTGCCGAGCCCACTATAGAGAGTCTATGGTGGGCTCTGCAGGGTCACTCTCAGGTGGGCTGTTTGGTATATCAGGTGGGCTCTTCAGGTGGCATAACTAGCAATCACGGGGCCCCATACTAAATTTTGCTATGGGGCCCTGTGATTTCTAGTTACGCCCCTGGTTGAACGGCTTTTTTATTCAGACGTTCTGCAAACATGGTGGCACAGTGTAAGAGTGCTTTGCATAACGTCTGAATAAAAGAGGCGGTCAGCACATTGGACCTTGGCGTTCGGGTGACTTTTTTTACATTGTGATAACACAGCGCCATCTGCAGGTCATGCCAGCACCCACCTATTATGGGATCCCGGTCAGGAGTGCCGTGAATTGCACATTACCTTTAATGGTTACTTAACCCCTTCATGACTGAGGCCCTTTTTTCATTTTTTGCACCCATGTTATATTCCACATTTTAGGCCTGAAAATGACGTAAAACCCCCCAACATTATATATTTTCTGAATGCCAAGACCCTATAGAATAAAATGGTGGTAGTTGAAAATGTTTATGTTGCGCAATATTAGCGCAACTCCTTATTAAACCCCAAAATTTAGTGACAAATTTAATTAAATGCCCCAAAACACAACAAATTACCCATGTACACTGTACGTCGTCAGTCACGAAGGGGTTAAACACACTATTAAATATATAAAAAAAAAAACTTAAGTAACCTACTGTGTAACATTTATATGGAAAAATAAATGTTGTGCAAAAAAAAAAAAATTAGAAAGATTTAATCTATTGGTGTCCCAAACCTACCAGCTTTAAACCCATGCTTGAAAGCTTTTGTAAACCAATTTGTTGTGTGTGTGTGTGTGTGTGTGTGTGTCAATATGGACAGAGGAGCTTTCTCAATGCATTTTGACTGTAAACCCTGCTTACTATGGACCACAAATACAAGTGCTGTCTATAGTTACAATCCACAAGTAATATATTGCAACTCAACTGTGAAAAGGCTTATTGCAAACACCCGAGTTCAGTAACTACAAATGTGAGAAGCTGTTCCGCAATGAACAGTGCATAACAATTGGTTAGGAATAAACTTGATAACTATGGCAATTCAAGTACCACCCAGCCTGTAATATGAAAGAGGCTTTGTCAAAGTAAAGCTCTTGTCCCTATCTGGACTACATCCAGCCTCTTTGTTAACTCAAACAAAACAAATTGTGGTCAGCAACTGACTAGGCGCAGATTTCAGACAAAAATCACGTTTGAAACAAACAAAAGTCTGGATATCTAAAAGCAAATCACGATGACACTTCGATCTAAAAACAATATTTTTTTAATCTTTTTTTCCATTTGACAAGTTCATATTAAAGTTGCATAAAAACCACCACTGGTGAAACAATTCAAAAAGTGGCAAAGGACATAGAATTAGTAAAGGAATATTGTAAATGCTAGAGTTTAAAAAGATCCCAAAGTAGATGAATTCAGATATAAAAGCACTACTCCAATCAAAACTCAGCGGTGGGGAATTTATCAAAACTGGAGCAGACAAAATCTGGAGCAGTTGTGCATGGCCTGCGGAGTTAACCAACCCAGGAGTCTGCTGGCCTGAGATTGTGTCCCGCTAGCTGGGAAATCTCTGTGCAGGGTGAGGCTGAGAGTGGTATCGCCTTGTGACGCCATGCTCGGTTCAGAACTGTGTATAGTCACGTGGGATTGACATACAGTGGGTTTGGGATGGGCGTACGTCACACTGTGCACTACATGATCTCTGCTTCATCAGCTTCTTTGGGGTCGCTAGGTGACATTAGGGGTCTAAGAGACCCCTGATGTCTCCATAAACCGTATCCGTCACATCCTCTTTGCTATCACATAAGGGGCTTGTTAGCTCCCTATGTGATAGCAATAAAAGTTAAGTGTAAGTAAAGAGGAAAACAAAAAAAAATATATTTTTTAAAAACATCCCCCACCCCACGCACAAACATGTGTTGAGTGCGTCTACGTGCAAAAACGATTGCGCCACATTACATATCACCGAGAATGTCGGCAGGAGAGCAATAATGCTAGGTCCACTATTCACCGTTAAAGCTTTTACTGCTCATCAATTTAGCATTAACAGATTAAGATATGTTTTAGTCAATGGACAAATGCTCGCAAAAACATACCCAGAAATGTGCAAAACGATTGTCTCGCGAGTTTCAATTGCAGTCCATGAGGACAAACACGCTGTAGTTTGCCAAAAAGAAGCTTACGTTTTTTGCAGTGTTTTACAGCTCGCTACAAAAAGCTCAGCTATAAACAGGGGCCATCGAAATGAACAAGAATTTTAGTGTTGAGTTTTGTCACGCTTAGCTTTGAGCATCAAAACACAAAGTAAAAAAAAAACAAAAACCAAAAAACACAAAAAAAAAAAACTGTTGAAATTGCCAACAATCTGTAACAGAAATCATGCTTAAACCATACAGAGGTGAGATTTTTAACTGTTTCTATTTAGCCTCTTAGTAACCTTCAGTTTACACTAATCAACTCCTATCCCCTTTCTTCCTCTAGGAAATATTTCCTATGCCGATTTTTGTTTTTTTTATTATGGTTTTTGTAATATTTATTTGGCTCATTGTTTTTAGCGTTGCATTAAAAAGTTGTAAAATTGATCAAACTAAACCCTTTCACTTGTAAATAAACTTTGCAACACATTGTATGTATACTTTTATCTACAGGAAAATTAAACTTGTTATCAAAGTAGAAAAGTGTTTTTCTAGTTGGGTTACTTTTTTGTCTATAGATTGCTCGCCTTCATAATATTTACTTGTATTTTTTTTAATGCAGAGTGTCACTGGCCCACAGAGGGTGTACAGGTTAAAAGCTGAAGTAGGTAAATTAACCACTACAATAAAAGAATGGCACCGTTTACATAAGGTTTCCCTAGATGCACAAGATGTTCCAAGTGAATAATTGTGCATCACATGAGTTAGCGTCCAAACAATAACTTGGCACAAGGTAAAATTACGTACCAACCCTTGTGACACTGAGATCATTGCTTGGAGTACATCCAAAAGAGTGCAAGCAAAGTAGAAAAGGTAAACACTTATTTTAAAATGAAACATTGACTTTGAGGCGTTATAGGAGCCATCACACAGATGACATGGTAGCCAGCTCTCTAGCTAAACATATGTAAAAGGGGAGAGTTTTTGGTTATGGATAAAATATGGGGAAATGGTTAGAATCAGTCATATTATGCTTTGCTTTTGGTGTACTGCTGGGAAACCACCTCCTGCATGAATTGCTTCCTGGCCATTTTGTGCCGCTCTGATCAGTGCAGTTTCCATACAGCTTTCAATGGAACTGTGCTGTTCAGTGCGGTTTTGGGAGTTTGTGTTTCCGGTCTGAAACGCAATTAAAAACATGCAAAACCACCCTTTTAAAATCAATGCGGAAACCCCAAACATACCAAGCAGTGCAGTTGGATAAAAAAAAAAAAAAAAGAAGTTCATGCTACTTTCTCAATGAGCTTGTTGTCCATCACAGATGGGAGCTTGGGGCGGTGGCTACTTTACAACACTCACAGAGACTATGAGGAACAAAAGTAGCCACCCTCCAGAAGGAAGGGCGGTGTCAGCACCTATTCAGAGATGATTGGAAGATCTACAGCTGACTGATACACAAATAAGACACTTTTGTTGATGGGGCACGAATGGATTTTTAAAATTTAACACCGGAGTTTAGTGTCACTTAAAAACTTG